CTATTTTTTATTCTAATTACTTGACCGGTTTGACCAATGAACAAATCCAGTCTGACCAAAATGGTGCCCTCATTGGTTTAGTCATCAGTCCAATCTTAACATCATTGCTCATAAGCCACCCATCTTACGTACACCATAGGAGTCTCTCATCTCTTGGGTATGACAAGAGTATCCATGTTTGATACATCACAAAATTATTTTTATTTTAATATTTGTTTAAGTTTGAAAGGATGTATATTTTAATTTTAGTGTGAAGGTTTATGTTTTGGGTTTTTAAGTTCTTTAGGGATTCTAGAGTTTTTTTATAATTTCATATTTACTATTTAATTGTTATTGTCCATAGGTAATGTTCATAGGTTCTACTGTTCATAGGGGTAAAATTATCATTACGAATTTTGTGTTCAAGTTAGGACTTTTTGGGTCATTTTAATTATTGTGTGAGTTAATGTATTGGAACATTAGATCATATATATAAGAGGTATGGGGGCCCTTGAGGGGGTCATTCCATGTGATTTTCTAAATTGGAAGAAAGAAAAAGCTCAGGCTTTTAGAACCCTAATAGGGTTAGGTAAGAAAACTCGGGTTTCTCCAAGTAATTGCTTATGTACTGCCTGAATTGTTATTTTTGTTAGATTTCTCAAATTTCTCCTACATTAAGTAGCATCAAAGCTCAAGTTTTCTTCAACAACAAAGTCAAGAAACCATAGTCAACCGTAGGGTTTGTTGATTTTGGGCCAAGTTCTGCCAAATCAGCCTTGATCTTGATGTTTTCAGCTAGTTTTAGTTGATTACCTGCCTATGATTGCGCAAATCCACTTCGTGATCGCAAAGATGAAAAAATTGATGAACTTAAAGGCAAGTTCCGCAGCTGATAGAGCAATTTGTGAGCATCATTCATGTAAAACAAGGTGATCTTTCTACCTAAAATGTTGTCAAGTACCGCTCTTTTCACCTTCATCGTCCATGTGAAGAGGAAAGTGATAGAAGACCTAGACGTGAGGAACATCACTCAAAGATTTTCGATTTGAAGAAAGACATTCTTGATTTTGATGCAGGTTGCAGCAAGTTGTAGATTAGGATTTATCACCAATCAACAATATATACTCAAATGGACAACAAGATCTCCTAGTATAAGGAGATGTTTCTAAAGAGGATCTTGCTCGAGAAGAATATGGAGAGAAGGCAGCAAAGGGGCTGATCAAAATCATGGCCTGTGAAGATCTCAAGGATGTAGAAGAGGTGGAGCATTCAAGAAATTTAGGGTATTGGAATCAAAGTAGCGCAAATGAAACGTGGTCGACTCATAAACCGCAAATTGCGGTTCTGATTTCAAAGAGTAATGATATAGATGCCGAGAAAACTTCTAACTCAATTTTCAACACAATTTCAGGGATAGCCGAATTTGATAATTTTGTATCAATTCCTTAATACACAAACCAGGATCCGTTTCTTGGGGATTTCTTCTTACCATAAATAATATTTGAACCAAAGAAGAAGAAGGTTAAAGAAGGTGGTTTTGATGGTGAATTCATCTTAGCACCCTTCAAAACACGAGGACAAGTTCTCTCCAACAATGGGAAAATGAGGCAGGGCAAGTTATTCTTATTTTTAATACTTGTTTAATTTCAAATTATGTATATCCTAATTTTAGTTTTTAGGTTTATCTTTTGGGTTCTTAAGTTTTTTAGGGATTCTAGGGTTTTTTTATAATTCTATATTTACTATTCAGCTGTTTGTTCACATAGGTAAAATTGTCATTCAAACTTTGTTTTTAGGTTCGGACTTTTTGGGTTGTTTTAATTATGGATATTTAATATCTTTGAACAATAAATTATTATGTATATAAGGTGTGTTGGGCCTTGCGGGGGTCATTCCACGTGATTTTCTAAATTGAAAGAGAAAAAAAAAGCTTAGGATTTTGGAACACTAGCTGGGTTAGGGAAGAAACCCTAGGTTTCGCCTAGTAATTGCTTGTGTATGGCCTGAATTGTTGTCGCTTTTTTGTTTTCTCAATTTCTCCTACATCAACGTTTCTTCTTGCCCTCAAAATCCAATTCAATGGGCATTCTTATCTCGACAGGGAATGCGTGGATCCCTCTGTGATGAGCATTATACGGACAAAGCTTGTCAAGCCCATGGTGACGGTTCACTCCATAGGGGATGCGTGGATCCCTCTGTGATGAGCATTATACAGAGCCCACTGTGCTCCACCTTGAGCCCAAGTCCATCTCTAATGTCTTCATCCAAATAGAGCTCACTTGTCTTGATCGCCTCATTCCCCCAAGTAGGGCACCCTTAGATGGCCTCTTCCATGTCTCTGAGGCCTTCTCATATGGCCTCTGTCATCCTTGGAGGATGGTACTCAACACTCCAAAAGCCTCTTTCATCCAAGTAAGGCACACTTAGAGCTCATATGGCCCCTTTTATCCATGGAGCCCGCTCACATGTTCTCTTTCACCCATGAGGTCAGAACTCAACAATCTAAAGGCCTCTTTTGTCTGTGGAAGACAGTACTCATCAACCTAAAGTCCTCTTTCATCCAAATAGAGCGACAGTCCCAGAAGCAGAAAAATTATGACAACCACACATATGGGAACATACGGCAGCAAATCCAAAACCACAAGTGACAAGGCCTTTATAGCCATAAATCCCAAAATCATTGAGATTCATAGAACTCAGCCAAGTCTCACCATTTTTCACTAAGCTTTGAATATATCCAGCCAAATCTTTACATGACTCAGCCGAGTCTTTTATGACTAGGCTTGAAACAGGTAAGTCAGAGGCAGGGTTTGAGTGTGAGGACAACGGAGAGTATCATCTGGCCTTTAAGGCACGTGTACTTCTGGAAGTAGAATCCCTCTCAATTTCCCTTGCCTTCTTATCTTTTAGATGTCTTTTGTGTGATTGTTTAAAGTTCAAACCAATTCTCCTCTACTTGTTTTCATCTTCCCATGGTTCTCTTCCAATGTATAAGGCCATTTGAACTTCCTCCTTTTTCGGATTTCAAAGCCAATTCTTAAGCAAGGCTCCTCTTTGGGGAAATAAGTGACTATGATACTAGTTTTCAGTCACACGTACGGCAGACACAAGTTCTTAACTCTATTGTTAAATGGCTCAATTCCCACCGTTGGCAGAGCACAGCTTAGATTTAACAATGCTCAAAGATCTAATAACACTTGTTGAAACATGAGTGTATTAACAACAGGTATTCCCAAAACTCCTCAAGGAGCTTCGCTTGTTCGAATTACACACACAGAGGCATTGCTAAAACACACATACGTACCAACTCAGCATCACTAAGGCTACTATCTACTCTGCTTTATAGCTAGCTAAAGAGAGATACAGAGGAGCAGGAAAAAAACTCATTTAATCACCATAGAGAGAGAAAGAGGTTACATATCATAACATTACATTTCAAGGGAACCCCAACCTTCTATATGGATGGAGGGGTTGATTTGCATCCCCAAACTCTCTCTCTCTCTCTTTTTAGTAGAACAGTGAGGAAGGAGCCCCCACCCCGTGGTCGGAATAGAACTCCAATTGTCATGTTCCCACCATCCTGACCACCTATTCCTGGAGCATAAAAATTGATGGACTTTCCATAGGTCCTATTTTATTGGCAGGATTCATCACCACTTCAGCTACTTCAGCCTTGCATCCCCGAACTCACATGGGAATAAACCCATGATCACAACATAAGACCCTTTTCTTTCTATTATTGAACTTTAACCTAGTTTAGAGGAAATAGAATTGGTACTTACTTTTCCCACTCCTCTTTCCTAATTCATAGGAAACTCTATTGATGAAAAATAATACTGCAAAATATATTTTTACCACTACCTTTCCTTGTTTAAAAGGACATATAAAAATGCGACTTATTTACCCCACTCTTTTTCCTATTTTGAAGGAATTAAATGTGCTACGTGCTTTCCCACTCTCTTTCTTGTATTAAAGCCAATGTTAGAAAAACAGGGTGATGTAACCGGTAACCGCCCAGATAGATAGGAACTGGCCCCTTGTTGGTTCCGGTTTCGGGCGGTTTTGGTGATCGACCGGTATTAAAATAAATAAAAATATATAAAGTCCCAAAAATAAGTAATATGGTTTTGTAATACATTTTTTAATATTCTTTACATTATGGTAAAGATTAAAAATTGTTTTGGTCATTAATACTCACTTTTATATTTTCTCATCTTTTTTCTAAAAATTTAAAAAATACCCCTAGGCACAAATCGATTCTTTAAAATCCATTTTTTTCATTAATTTTCAACTTCATTTGAATATATTTTGTTTTAATCATTCTTTATATATTTTTCATATTTTAATAGATTTTTTTATATCTTTTTTTATTTTTTTCAACAAGTTTTTGACCGCCCAGGACTTGCCCGGACTTGCCCGATTAGAACGGTTGAATCGGCCGGTTGACCAGTTAGGCCGGTTGAACCGCTTCCGACCCCATATCTGGTTAACTGTTCCAGGTGAACACTAATTAAAGCATATAAAACACGTATTTTTCATTTCTCTTTTCTATTTCAAAAGGAAAAAAATTATGAATTAGTATTCTTTCGTACTTCAACGAAAATGCAGCCATGAATCACGCTATCAAATCAAACAATTTTCAGACAACAAAAAATACAGAAAATATACCAAAAAAAATGCACTCATCAAGCTCAATAAAAAGGAATGCTCAGTCAATGAGCAAATAAAGATATCAGTCAATGAGCAAATAAAGATAGTTATAGTGAATCAGAGAGCATTAAGTAAACGGCTCGAGCTGTGACTTCGACGTTCTCGTTAGACAAAAAAAATACATCAAAAGAGAGCCAATATTTATTTTTTTTGTCCTGACTCGTCTCGAGAAACGAAAGATGAGACATGAAAAATACATGCAGAGATGAAATATCATAAATGTTTCAGATATTACATCTACAAGTTCAATTCACGCATTCTACTGTAACAGAAAGCTAGAGAGAGAGATGAAACACTAGCAAAATACCCACCTTACAAAACCAGCAATCGATCTACGGACTGAAGACTGCAAGCTTTATATCCTCCATTTTTCATCTTGAATCAATCATGGAGATGAAGGAGAAATACACAAGTGAAAGGGGGAGAAGCACACACCTGCTGTTGTTGGACAGAGAGAGAGAAATGAAGCTTGGTATCTGAAAACAGCTGGTACTTTTACAGAGAGAGGAAAGCTTGGTATCTCGAACCAACAGCTCAAGGAAAGGAATAAAGTTTCTGAACACTATTTAGAGAGAGAAACCAGATAGGTGTGCTGCAAATTTCGTGGCATCCAGAAAAGCAAGGAGAGATCAGCAATTGTTATCGCGTAAAAAAAACAAAAAAACACAATTCCTTGGACGTATTGGAGGAGAGAATCAAAAAGAGAGAGCGAGAGAGAGAGAGAGAGAGAGACGTTAGATGATACGTTTGGTGGAGTAAAGTCTGGGTTACTGACCACTGTTGACCATTTTAACCATTCTCATATGAGGACCCCAAGTTTATCAATGGGTCCGGCCTAGGTTGGCCACCCTGCCCTAGCCCGGCCCTATTCCTATAAAGACCGACCCGCGGGAATAGATTTCATTTGGGTTTGGATATAGGTTCAAAAATTGGAGCCAGTAAATCGGGTCCGGGTCCAAATCTTATATCCAAACACTAGTTGGGTCCGGATTTGGGTAAGGTCAAATATGAGTCCGGTAATATTATTTAAGTCCCAATACATGAAATACAGTTAAATATAATTAAATATATAGATATTTTAATTTTTAGATTGAATCCAGGTTGGGGTTCCATACTATATTTGCAAGTCTAGGTCCAAGTCCGGTGAATTCAGGTTTGGGTCCAGGTCTGGCTTCGGGTCCCATATCGTTTTTTCAAGTCCCCTTCACTTATTCCGGGTCGCGACGGGGGCTGGATCACTTGGCCCATTACCACCCCTGCATGTTTTCGACTTGGAAAAAACCAATGGTTTAAAAAACGGATCGGTGACCCGGATCGGGCTTCCAAAAAACCGATCCGAATCGGCGAATCGGCGATCCGGATCGAAAATCGAGTGAATCGGTCATAATAAAGCTTAAAAAAAATTCGAAAAAATTATTAAAATTCATTATAAATATTATTTTTTAGGAATTCAATAAAAAATGAGGGTACTCCATTAAGAATTTTCATGTTTTTGAATGAATATGCGAATATTGATATGTTCTTTCCCTGCATGAACCGCTATTCAGCATTTAATTTACAGTATTTCGTGCTCATCCCTACACTGTTGCTGTTGGGACTCGATATGTGAATAATATGGCTGGGATAGGGTGGCCTTAGAATCATCATCTCTCTCATTTTCTCTTTAAATAATATGGATTAAAAAAAAAATAACAAATTTTCAAAAAAATCGATCATGGATTAAAAAAAAAATCACAAATTTTCAAAAAATTCTATCATGGATTACAAAAAAAAATTCGATCATGGATTAAAAAAAAAAAATCACAAATTTTCAAAAAATTCAATCATGGATTACATAAAATTCGATCACGGATTACATAAAATTCGATCATGGATTACATAAAATCCGATCATGGATTACATAAAATTCGATCATGGATTACAAAAAAAAACAAA